GCAGTTGGGGAGCTTGGATTTTGTGAGGTGAGAGTTCTCTGTCTATCCAAGGCTGGGGCCAACCTTTCCAGAGTTGCTCTGACTTGATCAGAAGCCCATATGCTTGTGGGCCACCATTTTATGAATACAAACCAGGACATTGCCCCACACACTGGAATTTTCTTCTCATTTATGGCTGCTACTTGAAGCATATAAATGACCAATAGCATTTTAAAGGCAGGTACAGGTCATGGGCAGTGGGTCAGCTGCCACAGGGACCATTGCTTGGATTTAGGAAGTTGCCCTGGGTCTCCAGGGCCTGGCAGCCATGAACAGTTAGTTGCTGAGGGTATCCAGCAGCTGCTGCAGGCTGTGTGATAGTCCCAGTGGAAGAGCTGGAGTAAGAAGCAGTCCAGGCTGAGACTGAATACTACATAATGCCTGCCGAGACTAAAACTTTAGGGCCTACGAGTCTGCTGTCCTCAGTTAGAGGGAGAGAGACCCAGAGGAAGATGGCCATTTCCAGACCTACTAACGGGAGGAGTTGTTGAATGCCATGGTCTTTTTATGTAACATCTGTCCGGAAATCCACAAAAGCAACTGCATAAATGTGTAGAAGGCATGCATGCCTGTTGTTCTAAGGGTGGACTAGGAAACCTCAGCAGAGCTTGAGTTCTGTCCTCGTGACAAGCATTGTATCAGAGAGCAGCAAATCTAGTCTTTGTGCAAACTCAGTTCATATCCAAAGATGGCATCCTTTACCTTCACATTCCTAGAGACTTAGTGAGTTTATGCTGTTTATTTTCCTATGTGTGCAGCTCAAGCACTATGTAAATCAATTCTTTGAAGAAGAGATTAAATAATTTCCTTACATCTCTGTAAAGGCATTGTCTGTGAACAAGTAGTAAATAGTTCTTTGTAATTGTATAGCATCCTCCAGCCTTAAAGTGGCCACTGCGGACCACAGCAGTGAACACTAGTGTTCCTAGGTGTAGGACTCAGGAGTTTGTTGCCTGTATTCAGGTAAGAAAAAAAAATGTTACAGGCATGTCCTTAGTGACATTTTATCTTGTTATTTTTAGATGAGGGAGTGTTGATAATGGGTAACAATATCCTTAGTGACATTTTATCTTGCTATTTTTAGATGAGACAGGGTCGATAATGGGTAGCAAACAGAGAGTCTCCAGATCTGGCTTAGGTTTTAACTCCAAATTCAGACCCTAGCTTTGAATCTGAGAATTCCTGTGAATTTCTCATCTGTGAAGCGCTGATAATGACAACTGAATTTACCCCATGGAGCCTGTGGGATGAGATGAGCCAACAAATATGCTTCTTAGCCAAGTTCCTAGGATGTTTTGAACACCCAAGGCCTGGTAGTCACAGTAGTGACTTGGTAATAATTACTATTTATGTGAGGGATCAGATACTTAAAATTATAATATGAAAACATATTTAAGACCTTAGGAAGCTTTGTGTTTAAAAAGCAACCAAGAACATTTTAAAGGCAATTCTTAGTATGTTCTCAGGCATTAGAAGAAAAAGTCCTTTTAATTAAATTTACCCTTCAAAAACCTAGCCAAATAAAATGCAGTTGTGCCCTTATACCTTCCTGTTCTTTCTCCTTAAGGAAATTGTGCTGCCAATCCATGTTTGTCTAAAGCCCCTCCCTGTTTCAGCCCCACTCTAACCTGTTTGATACCAGGGAAAGTTAGGAATTTCCTTCTAACTATTCCTGTATGAAACCCAGGGTCATGACAGTGGCAGTGGCCACAAGTTCCTCCAGAGCCCACCTCTCATCCTCCAGACTGGCTGAACTGAGGGCTTCCCATTGTTCACCATGTCTTAGAAGCCCCCACACACCTCAGTTGCCATTACTGAAACTGGAGGCGTTTTATGAACTTGTGTCTATTACTAGATCAGAGCACAAGAGATAATGGAGTTTTTGGCTAAAACAAAACAAAAAAATTCAAACTGATAGAACTCCCATCAAACTTATGGTTATACAAACAGTATTTACAGGTATAATTGGCTTTTGTTAAAGGGTATGTATTAAAAGCAGCAAATACAACTACATCTGTCAATTATCTCTTGGTGGAAATGGCTAATGACATTTGAAAGCAGGTATTAAGGCTTTTTGCCATTTCTAGATTACTTCCATTTATTGACCAAATACTTTGTAAATGCCAAGTAGAAAGTAGTATATATCATTAACTTGGATTCTAATTTTTATGAGGTCATATACAACAACTCAACTTTAGTTTTACACACACCATAAATAATTAGAAATGGGAGCGGGAGAGGTGGCTCAATGATTAAGAGCTGTTCTTTCAGAGGACCCAAGTTCAATTTCCAGCACCTCCCTCAGGAGGCTCACAACAGGGAGCTCCTCTGTAGCTCTCATTTAGGGAATCCAACACTCCTGGCCTCCTTAGGTACCTGCACCTACTCACATGCAGACACACATACCCATACATAATTTAAAATAATAAAAATACATGAAGCAAAGTCAATACTTGTGTGATGCTCCTATTTACAAGGCTTCTTTACATATATTATCTCACAGGTTAATATCACTATAAGATGAAAAGGATATATGTTGTCTTCATTTTACATTTAAAAATACCTAAAGAGACTCAGAAATTTATTATTAAAGTCCATTGTTCCACCACTTATGACCTCAAACCAGCCACTTAATCACACCATATAAGTCACTGAACTGTGAAGCAGAATTAAAAATAGCACCTACTTCATAGGCCAGAGACATGGAATGAGTTCATAAGCACAAAGTCTTTATCAGTGGGTGCTGTGTCATAAATGTCTAACTAATAGTAGATCCAGGCATCTTGACTTGTAATCCAGAACTTTTCATCCTTCCAGTTGCCAATAGACATGATGGTCATAAAGGTAGTTCCCTTTAATAAGAAAAAGGCACTGACAAGAAGTGTTTGGACCCCCCAGCACTGTGAAATAAATGTTTGAGAGAGGCACTAATTATCAGAATTGGGTCACTATGCATTGTATTCATGCATCAAATTATCATCATTCATGCATCAAATTATCAACATGTACCACAAGTTTATATAATTATTACATGTCAATTTAAAATTATGTTGCAAGCAAGATGTAAAGGCCTATGCTTGTCATCCCAGCTCTCCAGAAGCGGAAACAGGAAGATGTTGATTTGAGGTTAACCAGAGTTACCTAACCAGTTCTAGGCCAGCCTGATACAGTCAGATCCTATCTCAACAAGGAAATCACACACACCATTAAAAAAGGACAACCCCACCCCCCAGCTATATCCATGAAAATCCCTTCAGTTAATAGTGAAGTGAAAATAGTAAGTGGCTGTAATTACTCCCCATAGATGGGACATCTATATCAAAATCCTTTCCCACCCCCCACCCCCCAGGGCTCAGAGAACATCCATTCAGGAAGACAAGGCGGAAGAATGTAAAAGCCTAAGGGTGGAAAGGGTGCCATGAGATGCTGTCTTTAGGGATATGTTGTGGCCATTGCACTCATCAACTTAGCACAGCTTTGGTTACCTGCATAAGATGAAGGCAATCAAAATCCTGCACAGAATGGGGAGGGTCTCACAGGGCCCCACCCCAGCCGAGGAGTTATTAGTAGTTGAACAATTCATTTTTCTTCGGGAGTGTAGCCACTGGTAGTTTGTCAAGGCTTCACTGGATGACTTCACACCTGGACACACATGGGCAGGCCTAACTGGACTCAGTGGATTATGTAAGAGAAGAGAAGAGGAGGAAGAGGAAGAGGAGGAGAAAAGGAGGAGGGAACATAATCAGGCTGGGGAGTTGAAGGGAGAAGAGGGAGGTGAATACAATTAAAACACACTGTATACAAGTATGGAGTTTACACAGAATGAATTAAAAAAATCTTTAAAAGCTATAGGAGAACAAAAACATTGACATTTGGAGATTGTAATTCTGTCAGAATATTCCTTGGGGAAACAGCAGCAGTAGCTGTAAATACACATCTGCCTGCTGGGCTGTTTATAAAGCAGCTTTGGGGAGCTATAATTCACATGCTATACAGTTCATCAATTTAATATGTGTTATTCAGTACTTCTTTATATATTCACAGACATGTACAACCATCAGCCACTAGGATCAATTTTTTAAAAAATCTTTATCTCAAAAAGAAGTTATTCTCCCTGCCCTCTAGTTACAGGTAGCCATTATCTGTTTTTTATTTTTGTTGTTTGTTTCTTTGTTTTTTGTCTTGATTTGCCTCTTCTGGCTCCTATCACTTTGTACAGTGTTTTCAGGACCCATTCATGTTTTGCACGAATTGCGGCTCTTGCTTGATGGGTGGAAATGGTGTTTATTTTCTAACTGCTGTTTGTAGCTTGCGTCATTTGGAGTCTACCTGTCTTCATTGGTGATGACAAGACACATTTTGTGGAAATTCCATAGAGGTGTTTGACTTGCTTCCTTGAGCAGTTATGAAAATTAAAGTGATATCAGAGCACCCAGCTATCACAGTACCCTGTGAATTAATTAAGCAAGATAAGTGTCTGTGTGCACCAAACTCAGTGCCCAGCTCAAGGGGATCTCAAGTCCATTTGTCCCATTTGTATATTCAGGGTTTATTAAGAATGTATTAATAGCCGGGCGTTGGTGGCGCACGCCTTTAATCCCAGCACTTGGGAGGCAGAGGCAGGTGGATCTCTGTGAGTTCGAGGCCAGCCTGGTCTACCAAGTGAGTTCCAGGACAGCCTCCAAGACAATACAGAGAAACCCTGTCTCGAAAAACCAAAAAAAAAAAAAAAAAAGAATGTATTAATAATGAAGCAATAGGGTTTCTTAATCTGTAGCTCACACTAGTTTGTAACTCTTTGTGTAGCTCAGGTTAGTACACATGGCAAGCCTCCTGCCTCAGCCCCCTGAGCACCCAGATTACAGGAGTAAGCCCCCACACCTGCTACAGACATATTTTTCACTATGACTTTGAGGTTGAAGTACTGATTTCTTCCACCCCTTTGTTTTGTTTTTCCCAAGGCTATGCATTCCTGCTGTTCCAAGAGGAGAGCTCAGTGCAAGCTTTGATAGATGCCTGCCTAGAAGAGGATGGGAAACTGTACCTGTGTGTGTCCAGCCCCACTATCAAGGATAAACCGGTAAGTGATATGTAGCCAGCTGCTGCTTTCCCAGAGCACATATGAAGATGACTAGCTGTTCCTCCTCCTTAGTGTGAAAATGCTGCAATTAGGAGCCTCTTACCTGCGTTAATCTTGCTATGTAGAGCTAGGACTGTTGCTAGTGATGAGAAGTTAATTAAAAAGTACTCATATTTCATCTTACACCTTTGGGACCACAGGTAAACAAATGTGCCCTTGACATCCACTTGCAGCTAGGAAGGCTAACTCCTAGTTGGAAACCCCAACTAGAGATCAGTGCTCTTAGTGGTTCTGGCAGCTCCTTTCTGTCATTATTTCAGATCAAGGACAGGAGGAATTTCTTTTTTAAAATAGCATATTTGGTAATGTTTGTATGTCCTTGGATGTAAGACTTTATGCTGGGTTGTATCCACGGCTACCTGGTGGGTGGGCCAGCAAGTCATACTCTAAATGGACAGTTTCAGCAGGACAGGAGAAAGGTAGGACAGAGAACATGGTACTGAAACAGTAAACAAATGAGTGGGATAAGTTTGTATGTAAAAGCTTGGTCCATAGAGTGGGAAATAGTAAAAATAGTAATGTGGAATGGGCAAGGGGCTGAAGCTATATCTAGGGCCTAAGCAGCCATCACAGACTTTCATCAGAGATACTGGGGCTCACTTGGTTGGCTAAGTATATTCTCAGAAACGTGTCTGCAAAGAGTTGAGTTAGATGTAGAAATTCCAAGGTTGAGTCTTAACTTTATTATTTATTATGTAAATATCTGCTTGATTCTGAGTAAGCCATCCTGTCCTTGGTGAACTAGAAAATGGGAAGAGCAGTCATCCTTCCCTGGGTTGTTGAGAGGAAAATGAACGTAGAAGCACTCAATAGAGAAGTGGGTACTTGTGCGGATATAACTGTCTGTCTGGTGCTGTCAGTCCTGCATGGTGCTGATTCAGGACAGCATAGCTAGAGCTCAACTGTGTGGTCACATCTGCTGGCAAGAACAGGGCTTCTGACTTATAGAAGAATGCCACTGGGACTTGGTCACCCATAAGGAGGGGAATTAGTACATAAGTAGGTAAAAGAGGAAATTACTATAGAATGGGGTTGTTGTGTCATGGCAGAAAGATTAGGACAGAAAACGAAGTAAGGATTTTAGCTACTATGAAAGTATCACTGTAATTGTTAAGTTCTGGGACCATTGCCAAATTTTGATGACAATAATGACAATGTTGAATGCTGTGGCTGTACAGGTTGGGAATCAGTAGGTGGGAAACCTTTGTTGACTTTGGGCTTTATTTAAAAAGTGTTTAGTGGTGTGGGAGACAGGAGTCACTGATAGGAGCAGCATGTAATGCATCATCTGAATAATAAATAACCTGAAGTCGCCCAAGTTCTTCAGAGTCATGAAAGATGAGAACGTTCCTACCAAATTTGACAATTTGTCTTAATAGTCAATCTGCAGAGATGCCCTACCCTGGCATTTAGTGAGAAGTCAGTGAGAGTGAACTAGGAAGGGTTATGGTAGAATTGGCCATGTACTTTGGGAGAGGACTAGAAATACATTTTATGTTTAAAAAGGCAAAGGGATAGAGGTACATGACATGTAATTATGTCCACAATAGAGAACAAACTGTAGAATTGAGATGAGGAGATGGGATGGGCCCAGGACTCAGAAGTTCCACATCACTGGCTCTGTAAGGGAAGGGAGGAGATGATGTCTGGAAGGGAGGCCCTCACCTGGACAAGATGTCTCTTGAGAGGGGAGCAAACTGATAGTTGCAAACATAGGTGGGTGGAGATAACACCACTGCTTTTGAGTGCTCTGGACTTTAGGGACTTTGAAAACAATTAGTGCAATCTTCTCTACTGGACATGTTTATGGAAACTAACTTTCATCTCGTCCTCACATTCCTACTTGACTGAAGTTTGCCTTTTCTGAGATGGAGTTGTTTTACTGTAGAGTGATAAAGTCTAAGGGTGGCTATCAAAAACATGTTTCCTTGATCCAGACATACTCACTGTTTCCAGCATTGATGGTTTGAATAAAACATAGAAAGAAAACGCCTCCCTGATGATGTCTCTAATTTGGATGAAGTACACTTCATGTTAGGTTCCAGTTTTGTCTCCAGTTTTACAGCCTTTTGTGGCTTTAGCTTTCCCTTCACTATTCCCAGCTTCATTGAGTCATGCACATCCCAGCTCATTCGGATTTCCCACAGAAAGTGACAGCTGGAGTCAACCTTCTTGAATCTGTAAGGACCTTAGAATTAGGCAAGCTCAGTCTCAGGAGCCTACTCTCCAGGCTTTCTCAGCTGTGGTTCCTCTTTGTTCCAAGTCTTAGTCTGGCTCGCACTCATGTTCTACCCTTCAGGATCCCAGTGCTCTGGCAGTTTAGTTCTTTCTGACTCCTTGTGTTTCTCCTTGGAAATATATCAGGTTCCAACAGTTACCTTGATTTTTCTACGCTTTGTCCTTGTTTATTCCTTTTCCTCAGATCAAACCCCTACTCCAGTTAAGTGGATCAGGTTACTCAACTTATTTTCCCAGTGCAGAGGCCCATGGTGAAGTCTGCTCTCAGCCATCTTGTCCAGGATCATGCTTCTTTTTAACCCAAGTGACCCCCAAACTGATGGGTTTTAGGGTATATTTGATAGGTGGTTTTGTTCAGTGGTTTCCTTCCATTAAATGATTCACATGGACTATTCTATGTATGACTTTGGTACTTAAAGATGGCAAAGATGGCAAAGAGCACTGTGGTTATTGTCAGAAAGGGATGGAGGGGAGGGGAGGGAGAGAGGGAAGGAAGGAAGGATTGGCAAGAGCAGTAGCAGTTGTAGCTTTGAGATCTGTAACTCCTTTCTTCCTGCAGAGAGAGGAGCTTCACCATTCATTAGTACAGACACCCCAGTATATGACAGTTGTTGAGGAATATTTATTTGTACTGTAAATAGGTCAATAGGCAGGCAGGAGAGACTAGGCAGGACTTTTGGGCAGAGGGAGGGAGAGAGGGAGGGGGAGGAAAGGGGGAGAGAAAGAAGAGAGGAGAGACTGGGAGGAGGAATCTGGACCCATGGATTCACCAGCTGGACATGGAGAAGAAACAGGAGGTGAGAGATGGAAGAAAGGTAATGCCACATGGCAGAACGTAGATTAATATAAATATAAATGGGTTAAATTAAGTTATAAGAGCTAATTGAAAACAAGCTTAAGCTAAGGCTGTGTTTTCATAATTAATAAGTCTCTGTGTTGTGCTGTCAGGCAAAGACTACAGACCGTGATGTCTGTGAACTGCCAGTGAAGTAGATGGGTGTTATGAACGTCCCTTCCAGGGAGGTGATAAACATAAATAGACAGAACCCGAAGGTTCAAACAGCAAACTATAGAGCAGGAGATCTGGATGCTATGTGGTGACTGAAGAGAAGGAAGGGCCCATTGTGGTGGCGCACGCCGGTAGGATTTTTGCTGAAGGAGGCAGAGGCAGGAGGATCACGAATTCGAGGCCAGCCTGGGCTACACATTTTTTTTTTAGCTAAGTGTTGGTGGCACATGCCTTTAATCCCAGCACTTGGGAGGCAGAGGCAGGCGGATCTCTGTGAGTTCAAAGACGGCCTGGTCTCCAGAGCGAGTTCCAGCACAGGCTCCAAAACAATGCAGAGAAAACCCTGTCTCAGGAAAACAAAAACAAACAAAAAAACAAAAACAAGAGAAGGAAGGAGACATTAAATGAGCATTGTGGCACTGGGGTCCTGCCATGTAACTCTGGCTGACCTGGTATAGGTAGACCGCCCTTACCCCAAATTCAGAGATCTGCCTGCCTCCGCCTCCTAAGTCCTGGGACTAAAGACATGTGCCCCTATGTCCAGCAATGATCTTTGCTTCTAGAACATATTGTTGCAGAGTTAATGGAACTAGAAACACACTGAAAGGAACTTAAACGTATTACCCAAGCTGACGTGTGTTTGTGTAGGTTAGTTTTTTGGACTATTGCTCAGGAAGCATGACTATCCACTTAAAAATTGAAAAACAAAAATCAGCGGGAAAATGATAGAGGTGAGGAAACTGGAATTGGATGCTGCCTGCTGTTTCAGTTTTAATTATATCTTAATTGACTTATTTTATGTGTGCATGTGTGTATGTGTGTGTGCCCATATTTGGAGGTCAGAGGATAACTTTGTGGAGTTTTAATTACATCTTAATTGACTTATTTCATGTGTGCATGTGTATGTGTACATGCACATTTGGAGGTCAGAGGACAACTTTGTGGAGTTTTAATCACATCTTAATTGATTTATTTTATGTGTGCATGTGCGTATGTGTGTGTGCCCATATTTGGAGGTCAGAGGACAACTTTGTGGAGTTTTAATTACATCTTAGTTGAATTATTTCATGTGTGCATGTGTATGTGTGTGTGCACATTTGGAAGTCAGAGGACAACTTTGTGGAGTTTTAATCACATCTTAGTTGACTTATTTCATGTGTGCATGTGTATGTGTGCATGCACATTTGGAGGTCAGAGGACAACTTTGTGGAGTTTTAATCACATCTTAATTGACTTATTTCATGTGTGCTTGTGTATGTGTGCATGCACATTTGGAGGTCAGAGGACAACTTTGTGGAGTTTTAATCACATCTTAGTTGACTTATTTCATGTGTGCATGTGTATGTGTGTGTGCACATTTGGAAGTCAGAGGACATCTTTATGGAGTTTTAATCACATCTTAGTTGACTTATTTCATGTGTGCATGTGTGTGTGTGTGCGCACATTTGGAGGTCAGAGGATAATTTTGTGGAGTTTTAATTACATCTTAATTGACTTATTTCATGTGTGCATGTGTGTGTGTGCATGCACATTTGGAGGTCAGAGGACAACTTTGTGGAGTTGGCCGTCTCCTTCCACCATGTTGGCTCTTCAGTGGAACTCAGGTCATCTGAGTGGGTGGCTAAGTGTCTTTACTTGCTAAATCATCTCACTGACCCATTGTTGGAGTTCCTAATTCTGTCCAGCCTATCAT